ACATATATATACATACACATACATATATATACATACACATACACATATATACATACACATACATATATATACATACACATACACATATATACATATATATATATATATATATATTAGTAGCAGTAGCATTCAAGATCACCTGCTGCTCAAAAAGCATGGTGTTGATGGCCTGGCGACAGGGCAGGATCATCATGGGGAACCCTACGGCCACAGACATCATAAAGCCCACACGAATCATCTCTGTGACCAGGTTGGACGGGAAGTTCATCAGCACGTTGCCCGCAATGTTCTCCGTGAAACTGACGTAGCCAAAGAAGCCCACCTGGTTCAGAGAGGTGGAGGGAACCAAACACGGGGTGGGAGGAAAGCAAAAAGTAGAACACATGAAGATGTAGAACGCTAACGGCACCTGAGGCAAAGTGTAGCCAGTGTAAATGGCGGTGGCTCGTGCGCATGGAGAGCGTGCTCCCACTCACAGTGATGTAGAAGACGGTGACCACGTTGAGGCTCGAGGTGAAGATGGTGCTCATGCGTTTGACGGACGGCTCGTCCAGGCTGTCGTAAGTCGGCAGCACCTGCCTGTGAGAGGAAAAGCAGCCCGACAACAACACATGCTGCGTGACATAAAGACCACACTGGTGCATTCATGTGCTGTCCAGATTATCAGATACACAACTTCTATATCTATCTTTTGCTCCTCAGCAGGGAGAGTCAGGGAAAGCAGTCACAGGACTGTTACATGTTTGCCAACTCCCAACCTGACGGGGAAAAGATCAACTTAAATGATATTATTCTTACTTACTTAGATTGAATAGTTTGTTGTTCTCTAGCTCATGTTTTGTTTCATACACCAACTCCCTTCATGCATTCATCCAACAATTGTTTAACCAAGTAGATTAATTACACCCTTAAGTGATCATTTGTCCCGTTACTTGACAATTGATTAGTTGATTATTACTTGCAAAAGTGGGCCTCCAAACCCCTCCAGTCATATGTAGCTTAGATGCTTGTAATTAGTCCGGATATTAAGCACATCAATATCAAAGGTGAGAACATCCAACATGCACATTAATGCAACAATTTTCATATGATGAAATATCAATTAACTAACAATTAATGCTTGAGAACTTTTCAATTGCAGTAGATGAAAGTAATGTCATGGCAGTTGGGGGGGGGGTGGAGTAGGTAGGAAGTGTTTGTCTACATTTGAGTGTGTGTGACAGCATGTTAAGGCTGGCCGAAGTTACACCTGAGACTGTCGGTCCATCTGTAAGCACAAGTGTGCGTCTCCCTCTGTCATGTTTGGGTTCTGTGCTACATGAGAGCGTGGCGGTGTGGATGGGGAACCATCGGCACATTAACCAGTGAATTTACAGGCGTTATATATAACAGCGAGTGCCTGCCAGGTTTTAGAGCATTATAAACTCTGCCGGCAGACTCTTTGTGCTCACCTCCTCTCTTTCTCCATCTCCCTCATAGACGTGTGAAAGGAAGAAACGGAGAGAAGAAATGAGAGAGAGAGAGCAAGACACCATATCTTTCTCTCATCCTCTCTTTGCCCGTCTCTCTCTCTTTTGCACACCCTGGTTTTATGAGCAAGCACTGTCCCGTGGTGCTTTTTTTTCCTTGATGCTTGTTTAATCCGCAAACCAGTAAATCTCATAGCCGAGGCTAAAGAAAAACGGCATTTTTTAAGTGCTGAGCTAAAGCGTCTAATGTTCACTCGACAGTCCTGAATCAGAGGCTAATGTGTTTTTGCATTAACGCTGCCCTTAAATGGAGGAAACATGAACGGAGGAAGTCTCCAAAGCGAGCGTGGGGGAAGCCCACGCATGTGTGTTGGGAGGGTGTGTGTGTGTGTGTGTGTGTGTGTGTGTGTGTGTGTGTGTGTGTGCGCGCGCGCTGTAGATAATATCATTAACTTGGAGTTGACAGCATGCGGACAGTAGCATCGCAGAGGGACATTTTTTTCGCCGCACATGTTTTTCTTATGTCCCTGTTATGAGCTCACGGCCCCTCATCCATTCAAACGCGCGGCCAAAAAACCAACGGGGCCCGGCTCCGGTCCCGCCGTAATGGTGATGTTAAGTAATGTTTTAACTGAAAGTGAGTGCGTTTCATGAACGTAATAAAAACCCCAATGTGCTGAGAGCTGTTTAATCAGCCTGTGAATACATCAGTGTGTGTCTGCAAGATGGCGGCGGTCCAATGCGTTGATTAGTGGTTTTGGCTCGAGCTGCCGGCCGCCTAACGGAGCCCTTTGCTTTGCGTGACCCGACCACAGGCCAAGAAACCACGCTGCCAAATATCATTCGGCACAGCTCGTGCACAAAACACACATGCATAAACACACACAAGTGCACACTTTCTTCTAACATGCGCACACCTCCCTTGCGCAATGTTACGTTGGCTTTGTGCGATTACATTAGTTAAAGTCTCATTTGAGTCTCAAGGCAACGGTCACCCATTCCCGCCGCTTACCTCGCCCTCCCTCACACAAACAAACCCATACAGCAGCTACCACCCAAACATCTGGCCCCCTAATGACTTCCACAATAACACTCCCTGCACCCATCCTTCCCCCCCAGCACCGCATTCAAATCGGAGATGGGACTTTGTACACCCAGATCCCATTAGGCCTTCGCACGTTAGCCTTCGCCAGCAAGCGCTAAAGCAAAGAGGACAGGACAAAAGAGGCAGTGACAGAGCATGCAGATGAGTGAAAATGGAGACATAAACGAGTACGCTGGCTCAGAGGAGCTCCGAGTGAGCTGTGAGAGGTGACATGAAGTGGTGTGATCTCTGCAGTCACTGCGAGGACAGTTAATGCAAAGATCGGCGTGAAAACCCTCTGACTGTCCAGCAAAGGAAAAGAAGATCTTAATGTATGTACAGTAATTGCCTCACTGTTTAGGTCAGCATCCACGTGTTTGTTTTTGACAATTTTAGATCAGAAAATCTGATTGGAATATGGACAAAGTTTTCCTTTTTTGTCTAAAAGTTCAAATTCTCATTGTAGCTGTTGTGACGTAGTAAAGTCACTTGACGAGACCGAGCCCGTTTTCCACATGAGACGGGTTATTTGTAAAAAGGGCAGCACCAAACTGATGAGCCGACAGTGAAAAGCACATAAGCAATAATAAGCAGCCTCCCTTTACGACCAGTAATTCCTCAACAACCACCTCCTCTCCACCCGACACCCTGGCTTACAGCGATGATGCAAGTGCACTAACTAGGATGTTTGCTCAATTTCTACATGCAGCTATGAAGGATTCAACTCACTGTGCCTCTGTAGGAGTCAGACAGTGGAAAAGCCCCCATTTGAGCATCTATACCCCTCCCCCCCACTTATTGTCTGACATTAGTTTCATTACATGGTCCTGTGCGGGTGGAGGGGCGGGAGGAGTACTTACGACTGACAGGCGAAGGCCATCCCACAGATGGGGAGACAGCGAAACACACCCTCCCAGCGCACCACATTGACCTGCCCTAGCCACCAGCCGCTGAGCAGCCCATGTTTGAACGAGGACAGCACCACCTGAAGGGAAGGAGGGGGGGGGGGGAGGGGGGAGGGGGTTACAGCCCGAACCAAATGAAGTTGAGGGGTGGAGGGGAGCACGAGGAAGATGAGGGTGGGGGTGGGCGGGGGGGCTGCACCCATGCTGGCGGCTCACAGACAGATAATGAAGGTAATCAATGAGGAGAGAAAAACCAGAGAAAATGAAGAAAGGGAAACAACAAATAGAGACGTGACAAGAATCCCCATACTGAACATAAAACCTGTCATAGCTGGAAATGTTGAGCAATGAAGGTGATGTGTAATGAATCAAAGTGAAATCATAAATGTTATCAAAATGAAAAAAGGCTTATGAACGGGTCATCTAGACAAAAACAGGCCCCACAGGTTTTTTGGATCAGCATGCGTTTCTTACGTCTCGCTCCTTTAATTACCTGACAAAGTCCCAGAGGACAGCAGAGTCCCTCCATACCCCTCCAGCCTCCCACACCCACACCCACACCCGGGCTGCTAATCCTGGGTGTGGGGCGGTGGTGGGAGGGCAGCGAAGATGAAACTTCCAGTTTAGTATGTTACACTTCTCTGCCTTACTACAACTGCCACCAAGAACACACACACACGCACGCACACACAGAGAGCTCAAATGGCTCAGACCAAACCCGAATTAAAAGGTGAGAAATGGGGATGACTGAGAGGAGTGGGCGGAAGGAAGGTTCAGGTAGGTAGGTGGGGGGACATCTGGCTCCCTTCACTTCCTTCACTCTCCAACCCCCCCACCAACTGCCCTTACGGTGGTGTTATTGCGGGGGTGGTTTCCTTGGTTTACTTACGGGTGACAGCAGAAGGTTGTGGCGATAATGGGCAGGCACTGAATGACGCCCTTGAAGCGCCACAGGTGAACCCGCTCCACCCAGGAGCCTGAGATAATGCCGTAGCGCAGAGACGACAACACTATCTACAGCAGCAGCAGCAGAAACAGCAGGGGGGGACAGAGGGGAGCAAACAAAGGGTGCAGAGGAGGTGGTCGAGGGGAGTGAGGGAGAGCGGAAGGATACGAGGTAAAAAAGGAGGAGAAAGAAGTACAGGGGTGCAAAATGGGCAGAGATGGAAAAAAAACGAAGGGGAGGATGAAAGGAGGGAGGGAAGGAGATACATCACTGTTAGAGGGTTAGGGATCTGGACTGGGCCATGGCCTGGATCTAAAGCCAGACATACACACCACACCACTGCTCCAGGTTATCGAGCTATGCGTCACGTCACGCGAAGAGACTGTGAACAGCAGCGAGAAGTCTGTGGAAGCAGCAGTACGGGTCAGTAGAACAGAACCACACACAAACGCTGTGTGTGCATTTAAAGAGTAAACGAGCCAAATCCCATGAGGCAGAAAACTGATGGCTTTATACAATAAACAAACTGTTATTATGTGTATAATAAACAGTCTCCTGCTTGGACATTACTGGTAAGAGTGTAGCCAGAAGTGCAGCATGATTCAAATGTTTCGTACCCAACAAAGGGTTGAGGAAAGGCGAAATGGCAAAAAAAAAAGGTGACTTACAATAAATAGTCCTCAACCTCGTATCTTCTAATTTTTCCAATGTCCAAATAATCATTACGGTCAGTATTAACTTGCTACACAATGCTGATTGACTGGGACAGAAAGGTAAGTACGAATAGGAATGTTGTGCCGACTTCAGATAACAGAATAAAAGTCTTTCCTTCAAAAAAAATAAGAGTAATTTGACATGCTGTACAAACAGCAATGCCAGGGTAAGAAGAATCAGTCTGAAGTATATCAAATCCGTTTGACGCATTAATATCTGGTAACAAATGAGCAAATATAGAAAAATAATTCCCTTTAGTTGCAAGGGTTTGTGATTTAGTGGAGTTGACTATGTGACCTCCATTTACTTCACACTTACAGTGCTTTAAATGTCTCCAGCGGCCAGTTCCAAGTGGTGTCTCTCTCCCAGGGGAAAGACTGAGCTCCAGCCAATTAAGAGCAGCGCAGCAATTGTTTTCTGCCCGATGTGATTTAGCGTGACTTTGCTCTTTAAACAAAAAAAAAAAAAAAGAAAGAAAAGAGGAGCAAGACAATATTATGTCGGTAAGGAAGAAGACATCGTTCTGTGCAGTGGAGCGAATAAGGAGGAATTAAACATGGAAGACAATGAAATAACATTTGTCCAAACAATATTCTGAAAATCAAATGAGTTTCAAGTTAATTATATAGTTTGTGTTGCAGGTTACAAATGCATTCATAGTATTTATACGTACAACTAGCTCTTAGTTGTACTTAGTTGTAGCTCTGGTACTTAAGGAAAGCACACTGCTGTCTGCTCAGATGCATTGCGTTGGAGTGCAGCTGTCTGTGTGTCGGTGGGCTCACCGTGAACATGAAGAAGGTGTAGAACATGAGAGCCATGGCGGAGAAGGACTGGATGGAGGACATCATGTTCCTCTGCAGACTCAGAGGGAGGACGATGAACAGGGACACGGCGATCAGCAGCAGCACGCGGAAAATGCCGGTCACCTTTCAGAGGAAAAGTGTGAATAATGAATCCTATTACTCCAACATTTATAACCGGTGTTTGCTGTTTTGGTTGCTTGGGAGTAAAGTGTCGGAACAGAACAGTGGATAAGAAACGTATGTTCAAAGATTAAAGAGATGAATAGAGCAAATAATGATCTCAAACCTGTAAACCCAACAGCTGAGCGAAGAAATTGGAGCCCAGATCAGCTATCACTACATAGAAGGCAATACAGGTCCCCAACATCAAACCGATCATACTACAGGGAGAGAGAGAGAGAAGACCTGGATTATCACCTATGATAATTATCTGTAGAAGATCAAGCCATAATAAACACTTCAAATACGGCACAATGTGTGTAGTGAATTAATAATTAAGACTTGCCTCAACTCCACCACAGTCTTTCCTGGTTTCCCGTAAGCATGGAACGCTGCAGAGAAGAGAGCGACGTCAGTGTGAACAAACAGATGGCAGCATCCGGGGAAGAATCGCTGTGACGTGGTTTTCTGTAAATTAAGTTTAACGTTCTGTCTGCTGAGTCACGACGGCCATCGTTGCTACTGCTAACTGTCAGTAATAAATACTAAAAACAGCCTAATTCAACGCTATTTAAACTCACCCAGTCCTGCATAGGTCCTTCTTTTGGTGCTGCTCGCTGTGTTGACCAGGAACATGCAAGACTTGTGGGTCATCCACGAACAGAAGAACAACAGGAGAGTTCCCAGCACTATCCCACACTGTAAGAGAGGACGGGACACTTAAACACACATTCACACATACACACACAGAATATATACAAGCATCTTCTTTTTTTGGGGGGGGGGGGGTAAAGTGACCGTGGCTAAGTCTTGATGCCCTGAACAGGATTCAAACTGGAATCCTGCTCGACTATCTTCACATTTAATCTTTAAACATATTTGCAACATCAGTCCAGACAAGAAACATATTTGACAGTTTTAGACTCAAAACATGAAGGTCTATGGAAAGTAAAAAAGAAAAACAATTCTTCAAGATATAACAAAAGCGTATCCATGTGAAGGATATCTGCAACATTAAATATTGAGAGTTGGCAGCACTTTTATCCGCCCATGATTGTTTAACACATCAGTTTGCTCTATGGCAGGAAAAGAACAATAAGCTTCCAGAGAGTGTGCGATAAAACACCTGTGAGACCTGTGTGCCAACATAAAGCCATGGAAGAGTCATCAACGACACCAAATGGAGCTATTTCGAATTGCTGTTATTTAGTAGGAAACAGTTTTTATCAGCAATTTTGGTGACATTTTACTTTGTCTGAGGTGCAAGAATTCAAGGGCCTAATAAAAAAATATGATGTTATTTTGGGGAAGAGCTGGCCTTTTTAAAGAAGGGCCACCCCCGACACCTTATCTTCTTTAGTTCCTTCTGTGCATAAATATTTACAAATACTACACAAATGTTGAACTTGCATAGTGCACACTACACAACAAACAGAGAGGCAGGAAGTCGGCCGAAATGCTTCACAGCAAATAGTTTCCTGAGATTGTTCTGTGAGGACACTGATACCATTGTAACTTTATGAATTCCTGTTTTCAATAGGGAGGTTGAAGGGTCACACTTTGTCCTGAAGTATTTTGCCAAATAGCAACTTTTTTTGCAATTTGCAACCACGAACGGTCAAAAACACGTTTGGTATTTGTGCCAAAACCTGTAAGAGAATGTGTTCAAAGGATTTAATGTGGAGAGCATGATGCAGTCTGGCAACAGATGGAAAGTCTGTTTATCATCAACCAAGCGTCCATTGCCAGCAATAAAAGTAACAGTCATCCATTAAGTAATTTTCCATTCACACCGATGTCCTCGCACAATGACAAAGCAAAACTCACAGTGGCCAAAATGAAGCTGTAGGTTGTTTCAACATTCAGTGTTTGTTGAAATCCCTTCAGCAAGATGCTGATTCAACAACTCTGTGCTCATTTTGTGGTCTGTAGTTTGTGATGCTGTTGAATTACGTCGTGTTAAACTGAAAGGTGTTTTTGAGCTGATATATCAGTGAGGTTCAGACTAAACACTAGAATCATCTCGCTGTAAAGTTAAACACCATCTAAAACTACAACTGACTGGAAATGACATCGTTTCAATGGACTATTTCAAACTGAAGCTTGTAAATTTGAACTTGAAACGTGACAACTTGTACAGTATAATGTATCGCGTAGCTGTCCGTCTGTTAATTCATATGAGATATTCTATGGGTTAAATGAAGCTATTAGACAAATATTAATGTCTGACTATCATAGATTTATGCAAAACACATGTGGTGAATGACAAAAAGTGACAACCAAGTACATTTAGTTAAGTACTGTACATAAGTACAGTTTTACAGGAATGTTATCTGTAATGTACTTTCCCTCTTACTACTAATACTGTAGCTCCTTTTTATTTAACTATATTTATATCACACCTGTAGCTATACATTACAGATGAAGACTATCTACAAAACATACATTCATATATATATATATATATATATAT